TTCTGTTTTCCAGGGGATCTTCCTGACCCAGGGATCAAACCTGGGTCTCCTGGATTGCAGACAATTTCTTTACTGTCTAAACCACATGCTGCTGCTGCTAAGTCACTTCAGTTGTGTCCAACTCTGTGTGACCCCACAGACGGCAGCCCACCAGGCTCCCCTGTCCCTGGGATTCTCCAGGCAAAAACACTGGAGTGGGTTGCCATTTCCTTCTCCAATGCGTGAAAGTGAAAAGTGAAAGTGAAGTTGCTCAGTTGTGTCTGACCCTTCGTGACCCCATGGACTGCAACCTACTAGGATCCTCCATCCATAGGATTTTCCAGGCAACGTACCAGGTCATACATTTTAGGTTTTGGTTACAGTAGCTTCTCAATTCTGGGTATTATAGTGAGTCAATGTGGGTAGACTAGATCAGGCCATGGAAACAAGTCCATCCCCAGATATCATAAAATTAGAACAAAAGATTTTTTTCTTACTTATGCTTCATCCCTGTTTTGTCTGGGGGCCCTGTCCCAGGTCACTTCACTCTGGGACTCATCTCACTCTGCCAGAGCAGTCACCATCATGGATGATGCTGACCATTGTGGCTATGATAAAGTTCTGGAGGCTTTAATTAAATATTTTGGTTCAGAAATGACATACATCACTTCTGCTTATATCTCATTGGTAGAACTATTGGTTTGGTCCAACCATAAGTGAGGTAGAGTGTACAATTCCCCACCTTCCTGAAATGGAGAGAGTTGGAGACATTTGGAAAATATCACTGATGATGCCACAGTAGGGAAATGGGATGAAGAAGCAGGCTGCAAACTTGAAGAACTAACAAGTGCTCTTGGGATCCTCCCTGAATGATAAAATGCTCTTTATAGATTTATTTCTTGGCAGGGTTAGTCATCTCCTAGGGCTGTTGATTTGCACGACTCAGATGTCTAATGCATTCCTTTTCCAATATATAGCTTCACTCAACTGAAAACTGTTAGATTTTTCTCTGGTGGATTCTGGAGCATCATTATCTCCTTCACCAGTCTGTAGCTGATATCATCACCATCATCGTCAAAAACTCCAGCTAAGCAGTTAATTATAAATGATCCTTATCTATAAGATGTATTTGCATTTGTCCTTCCACTTGTCACTTTGGTCCCAGGGAAAGCCCAGAGGGAGGGAAATGGTCATGGGACACAGTGTTAGACTTATTATTCCTGCCCTCAACAATCTATGGTGAAAAGCTAGAGAGAGAGGTGATTCTTCTTAGGGAGGGTATGTGTATACACACCTGTAGACAGGTAGGAACTGAGGGAGCTGACCCCTTACAACTCTTTCCTTCCATGGAAGTCTGTGGCTGAAAGGGCAGTGGAAAGGACCATTCACAGAGATGACTCAGAGAAGCAAGGCTAAGTCTCCCCAGAGGAAAACCATCAAGATCCCACTGCTGGGGTAATGACAAGCACACATGCTCGTACACACACGCACACACAAGTGCACACACACACACACACACATACCCATGACCTGTCTAGCTCATGGGTTTGGAACTTGTCTGCCCAGAATGATCTTCCCTGCTTGTAGCAAGTCTGGCTCATTCTCTTTGAATTCTCAGTTAAATTAGTACCTCTTCAGAAGGAACTGTCCCAACCACCTGATGCTTCAAAGCAGAATTCCCAGGTTTGTGCCTAACTCAGCATCCAATTTTCTTCAGAGCCTTCAGTACAATATGTAAATATTTTCTTTATTGTTTACTGTGAAAATTTTCTATCTAGAATGTCATATATTTATTGCAAGAAATAAAAGCAGATGGTCTGTCCAGGTTACTCCTAAAACCCCACCACCTGGCACATGGTGGGCATCCAATAACTTCTCAGTGCAAGCTTATTAAATAAATGAATGATAGTGATCATCAGTGAAAACGTCTGGCTTTAGATAGAATTAGGAAAGCCTATGCTGTCATGAAACTGGGACTCCGTGAATTCTGGAGAAATGTTCACTTGTCACTGGAGGTGGCATTGCAGTCTGAGGATGGGGTTATTCCTCTTGTCTTCCTTCATGTGGGAACTGGCACGTCTAAAGGTGTGATTTTACTCACCCTTTAATATCTGCTTGAGAGGAATGATCTAGAGAAAAGGGCTTTTTCTGTGGCTAAGAAATGAGTCTCTTTCACACAAGAACTAAAAACAGAACTCTGATTCATGAACTTGCTAATGGGTTTTCCCTTGGGGGGAACCTTTCTGTGCCCAGTGAAACCTCTCTTGGGCCAGAGCCTTATGCCCCATGTCAAGGCAAATATGGAGCTTCTATCTGACTGTAGCTTGGCAGCCTTAACCCAGGCGACACTCAAAGGGCTGTTCCCATCACCATCTTAGACAGAATTCAGGTTCCTCCCCACGTTTCTCCAAGGTTTGCTTGGAAGAGTGACTGACCTAGTGGACAACCTTGTGCATAAAAATGGCAGTGATGAAAACAAGCATGCCCATGACTATTTCATGGTAAAAACTGCTCACCAAAAATAAAGAGAATCATGAGTAAGTCATTTTACTACTCAGAAAAGAATTACAGATAATTGGACAGGGGTAAAGACAAACCAAGAAACTCCAGTACTTTCTGGGTTATACTTGTAGGTTTCCTTTTCTTTCTTGAAAGAAAAAAAAAATTGAATGGAGCAACCTACTAGTGCAAAGTTTAAATTGATTGATGACAATAGCTTGTGAAAAAGAAAGATACTGACTGGATGATATACTTGCGCTCTCGACGTTCACTGAAACAGGCAAGTTGGGAGAAGGGAGCAGCAACGACCAGGAATGAAATGCAAACGACCACCTAGAAGACACGGTGAGGGACCAGACTAGAGAATGAAAACGCGGTGGTGCGGCCATCTGTCTCCTACTGTCTCAGCACTTGACCTCTGCCCTACACATCCAGCCCACTTGGTTCCCTACTCACCTTCCTCCCCAGCACCCTGCTGGGAATGGACCACTGTGGTTTTACAACACCGTGCTTTATGCAAAGAACTCTCACACGAGTCTTGTGGTTTGAGAGTAGCTCTATGTATCCTTCCCATCATGATCGTCCATGAACTCGTACCAATGCTCTAAGAACACCTTCTTGTTCTGGTTGTCAGCCAACTTATGTTTGTCCATAGCCACCCCAAAAGGGGAAACTGAGGCAACGAGAAGCCAGCATCAACCCTACTGTGTAGGTAGGCAGTGTGAAATGATGAGACCCTAACCTATCTGATCTAGTGATGGTCTCTGGCCGAAATGGGTGGAAAACCATTCTTACCGCCTCCCTCCTGGAGACTCCCTACAACCAAATCTGGTCCCTCCCTAAATACTGCCAGGTGGGTCTTCCTTGTAACATTGCCTAGGAGCAGAGGCCATCTTTCTCAGAAGATTGTGGGGGAGTGAATGAGATGGTGCAGGTGCGGCACCCAGAAGATGGTTGGCACATATTAGGTGCCCAGGAAGCACAGCCACTAGTTTAATCAACATGCCCTTCTCAGACACTCCAGATTCGTTCCCAGGGAGGCTGGGAGCTTATAAATTCCAAGATGTATAATACTTCCTTAGATTATGTTACCTGTGAGATGCCACCATCTTCTGGTTCTTATTTCCCTGGGACTGCTGCCCAAGCTCCCTTGGAAAACTTCTGTTGGGAAAGGCAACAGGCGGCCTCCCACCCTTTTCTGGGCTCTCACTTTGCAATCCTAGAAGGGCAGCCTCACCCGCCCGCCTAGGTTTGCAAAAAGACCCATGGGATTCTCTGGGGAGTGACACTCAAGTACAGTTTAAATCGGGAGCTCTCTGGACATCAAAACGTGCTTCCTTTATTTTGTAAGTGGAGATTGGAGAAACTGGCGAATGGATCTTTGTAAATTCAGAAGGAGAAAAGATGATTTGATTTTTTTTTTTTTTTTGTCATTCAGTCTCGGGGTGAGTGGAGGCACGGACCTCTGTGCCAGGTGGCGGGGCGGGGTGTTTTCTTATTGATGAAATGCACTGCGCAGGTCAACTCCGCAAACCTAAAAGGGAGAAGCGGTTGCGGGGGCGGGGTGTGTGGCAGGGGGGTAAGCGCCTGTTCAGAGGACGGCGGATGCGGACGCGCTTAAGGGAGAGGCGTGCCAGGAGAGCGCGGGAAAGGCTGCCGGAGAGGCTAGGGTGCTTCTGCGCGCCGCGCCCGGGCTCGCGCGGCCCCTGGCCGGGCGAGGGGTGTCTTGCGGGAGTGGGGTGGGAGGGGGCAGCAGGCGGGGCCTGCCACGTCACTTGGAGAGAGTGTGTTGGGAAGGAAGGGCAGAGCGGAGAGCCGAGCCGCTGCAGCTGCGGCGGCTGCAGCGAAGGCTTGAGCGCTGGGGAGGTGGGTCCGCGCGCCCCGACCCCCCGGGGCGGCCCCAGGGCCCCTCTCGCAGGCCGGCGGCGCGGCTCGGAGGGAGGCGGTGGCGGCCGTGGCGGCGGGAACGGCGACCTTGGCCAGCGGAACGCGCGGTGGCCGTTGGGCGGAGGCCGAGCCCCGCCGGGCGTCTTGGCCGAGTCGGAGGGAGGCGCATCTGGGGCACGGGTCCCGGCGGCGGCCGGGGGTCTGGGACGTGCTGACACCCAGGGCGGACCCCCGCGTCGCGGAGCCCAGTCTGGGGCGCGGCGAGAGGGGCCAAGCCACGCGTCTTTTTCGGGCGTGCACACGCGCCAGGCTGCGGTTCCAGGTACTCCAAGCTCCATCTGGCATCCGGCGCGGATAGCTGGAGGCGCGGGGCCGAACCCTCCGCGCCCCGGTCACCTCCTCAGACCTAGCCCGGCAGAGACCAGGGCTTCGGGACTCAGGGACCCGCCGCCGGCTCGGACCGCGAGCCCCACCCTGCAAAGAGGGCGCCGCCGAGAGCTGGGAGGCGCCGCGGCGCCCGGGTGGTGGTCGTGTCGTGGGCGCCGTCCTAGCGGCGGGGAGCGCAGCGCGGAGGGGACATGCGATCGGAGAAATCCCTGACGCTGGCGGCGCCGGGGGAGGTCCGCGGGCCGGAGGGCGAGCAACAGGATGCGGGAGACTTCCCGGAGGCCGGCGGCGGTGGCGGCGGCTGCTGTAGTAGCGAGAGGCTGGTCATCAACATCTCGGGGCTGCGCTTCGAGACGCAGCTGCGCACCCTGTCGCTGTTCCCGGACACGCTCCTGGGGGACCCCGGCCGCCGCGTCCGCTTCTTCGACCCGCTGAGGAACGAGTACTTCTTCGACCGCAACCGGCCCAGCTTCGACGCCATCCTCTACTACTACCAGTCTGGGGGCCGGCTGCGCCGGCCGGTCAACGTGCCGCTGGACATCTTCCTGGAGGAGATCCGCTTCTACCAGCTGGGGGACGAGGCCCTGGCTGCCTTCCGCGAGGACGAGGGCTGCCTGCCCGAGGGTGGAGTGGACGAGAAGCCGCTGCCCTCGCAGCCCTTCCAGCGCCAGGTGTGGCTGCTCTTCGAGTACCCGGAGAGCTCGGGGCCCGCCCGGGGAATCGCCATCGTCTCAGTCCTGGTCATTCTCATCTCCATCGTCATCTTCTGCCTGGAAACGCTGCCCCAGTTCCGTGCAGACGGTCGAGGCGGAAGCAACGGTGGCGGTGTCTCCCCAGTGTCCAGGGGCAGTCAGGAGGAAGAGGAGGATGAAGGTGACTCCTATACCTTCCATCCTGGCATCGCCCCCGGGGGAATGGTGGCAGGGGGCTCATCCTCACTAAGTACTCTCGGGGGCTCCTTCTTCACGGACCCCTTCTTTCTGGTGGAGACGCTGTGCATCGTCTGGTTCACCTTCGAGCTACTGGTACGTTTCTCTGCCTGCCCCAGCAAGCCAGCCTTCTTCCGGAACATCATGAACATCATCGACCTGGTGGCCATCTTCCCCTACTTCATCACCTTGGGCACGGAGCTGGTGCAGCAGCAGGAGCAACAGTCGGCCAGTGGCGGGGGTGGCCAGAACGGGCAGCAGGCCATGTCCCTGGCCATCCTCAGAGTGATCCGCCTGGTCCGCGTGTTCCGCATCTTCAAGCTGTCCCGCCACTCCAAGGGGCTGCAGATACTGGGCAAGACGCTGCAGGCCTCCATGCGGGAGCTGGGCCTGCTCATCTTCTTCCTCTTCATAGGGGTCATCCTCTTCTCCAGTGCCGTCTACTTTGCGGAGGCCGATGACGATGATTCGCTCTTCCCCAGTATCCCGGATGCCTTCTGGTGGGCGGTGGTCACCATGACCACCGTAGGTTATGGGGACATGTACCCCATGACAGTGGGGGGCAAGATTGTGGGCTCGCTGTGTGCCATTGCCGGGGTTCTCACCATCGCCCTACCCGTGCCTGTCATTGTCTCCAACTTCAACTACTTCTACCACCGAGAGACGGAGCAGGAGGAGCAAGGCCAGTATACCCACGTCACTTGTGGGCAGCCTGCCCCGGACCTGAAGGCAGCTGACAGTGGACTTGGCAAACCTGAATTCTCGGAGGCCACTCGGGAGCGGAGACCCAGCTACCTTCCCACTCCACATCGAGGGTATGCAGAGAAAAGGATGCTCACTGAGGTTTGATAGATGCAGGCAGCACCTGCATGGAAGGAAGACACCAAACACACCCTTCCTTAGGGACCCTTCTCATCCTCCACTACTCGCATCCCAGCTCCAGGTGACCTCCGGACTCTCTTTCTCACACCCAGTGGTTGGCGCCAGGGCCACACACCTGGACTGCCAGCCTTGTTACTTGACCCCTGCAGCATCCCAGGTTTCTCCATCTAAGTGACATTTTTGAAATTCTAATGGTGCCACCCATTCGTGCCCATCTTATGTCACGTGGACAAGATTTCCATCTGACCTTCCCTCGAGACTCTGATTTTTCACATTTGGGACTTGTGATGTCTCTAGGAAGAGTGACGTCAACAGGCTGGAAACCAGGCATACCAGTGTCTTGTTTCTCCTTAGCATCCTTGGCTTTGGGGCATGTACCCTCCCGTTGTAGCTTCTGGCCACGTGCTAACTAGCCGAAGCTGGTGGGAAGAAACAGTACTCATCCTGTTGTTTTCCTCCAGTGCCCTGTAAGGTCGGCTGGTCATTCTGTAGAGAAGCCTTAGGAGAGCCTTCAGTTGCACAGCCTGGACATATGTTATCTGTCTCTAACCTTGGATGCAACTAGAGAAACTACGATGCCACTTGGCCATTTGGAGGACGTGAGAGGTCAGTCCTGGACCTAAAGGGCCAATGGATTCTTCTAGCGTGACCTGGCACGGTAGATGTTTGTCTCTGGTCTCCACTTAGCTCTCTCGACTCTGATTCCCTTGACTCTCCCTTGCTTCCAGGAAGGCTCCTCCTTCTCAGAGCCAAATACTCTGTTCAGGTGCCTTCCTGTGCGGAGGAACTGACAAAGGGGAACCACGGAACTGCGAGAAATGGCTGAACGGAACCAAGCACCTGGCCTGACCGCTTCTTAGGGAAGCGGTGTCCCTTAGACAGTGCCATCTCGGAGCGGTGGAGGAGTCTTGTTGCTGACAGCAAATTCCTCTCCCTCACTTCCCCCAGCCCTCTCTAGCCCTCCATCCTGCTTCCTGGGAATCTGACTTAGGTTTGCAGCTGAAGGCTTGCTAACTCAGACTCCAGCTTAAATCTGCCGCCAGGTGAAAACACACATTGGATGCTAGCGTGGGTTTCTGTTTGCATTTTGCCGGCAATGAGATAGGTGGTTTAGAGTAAGGAAGAAGCATTGTTCTTTTGCCGACAGCCTCACTGGTAGAGGGTTGTTTTTTTTTTTTTTTGCTGAGTCAGGTAAACATTCTCCTGCTCTAGCCCTGGAGCCACAGCCGCTGGCTGTCACCAGGGAGATGCCCGGAGGTGCCCCTACCTGGTCTGAGCCATCTTCTTCCATCGTGAACTGAGCTGCTCTTCCTGTGCCACCTGCCCACGTCCCCTCTTTCTCCTCTTTGCACTGCCATTCATTTGCTGCCTTGATAAACTGTGATGACCTGTTCTGCACTCTCCTGGGTACAGTTCAGAAACCGAAAGGACTGTTAACGTGTTTTTAGTTTTATAATCTAGGCTTTAAGACTCCTTGATGAGATTTTTTTTTTTTTAAGCTTTTCTCTAAGAGCCAACTTAGGAGGTACAGCCGCTTGAGGGTTTTCTTGAGAGACACTGTGTCTGGATGTTGCCGCACTTTACAGGGTAACTTGGGGGCCGCAGTTCCTCTTTGTGTCTCGGTGTCCCCACCCGTTTGATGGGAATATTGATGTCTGTCCCCCCCACCCCCTTCGTGGGGAATGGCCCAGGAACTCAGCTGGGATTCTGTGGGTGATGCTATGCAAATGCGTGAACTTCCATAATGATTTCTATTTCATTACCCTGCTTCCCCCTCTCCCATAGGCAAAGCCTCCTCCCAGGGTTCCTGCTTTGGGTCCAAAGCCCACATCCAGGCCATTCTGGGTCCTTAGCTTTTTAAATCCCTCCCTCACCTCTTGAACTGGGCCTCATTCTTTACTTCTTCCCCTTTAGCAGGGAAGATGCTCTTTGGAGTGATTCAGTGGCGTCCTTTTAGGGCCAGGCACCACCATCTTGATTGGGAGCTTGACTTCTCCAAATCTGAAATGCAATATAAAGTGCTCATGATTCAGATACCTGCTCTGAGGCTATGAAGTGCCAGTTTTCTACATCTGTTCTGGAATATTACTCCTGACAGTCCAGGGGGAGAGGTGGGGAAGAGAAGGCCCACCCAGAGGCAAAAGGAATGCTCACGTCGAGAGTGAATGTTGAAACATGGATGTATCCTTCTCAGAATGGGGGTGTGTGTGCGTTTTCATCATCCTCACCATTTCAAGTCAGAGCATGCCCGAGTGGAAAGGGTTTATGAAGAGCTGGGCTCTCTGGGGATTCTGGTTGCCGTAGCAACCTTCCAGACTGTTCTATCTTCTGAGTTGGGCAGCCAGGGAGAATGAGAGACGACGTATTCCCAGCTTCTGAAATGGGGACGCCTCTCACATAACGTTGTTTAGGGGCTGGCAGGGCTGGGACAGGGATGTGTGGCCTTTGGAAAACGAGGGGGAAGCAGGTCCCCAAAGCTTCCTATCTGGGCCTTTCTTCCTGGTTTCCCCACCCCATCACTGGAGCCATCTCATCTCACTCACGAGTCTTCAGAAACTTGAATGCTAGGCAACTGCCAGTTAGACCGTATTCTCTCTTTCGAAATGGCCTTGGAGGGGACTAGCTTCTCAAGAGGCAGCTGCTACTAGTTTTAGTCCATAATAGCACCACGGAGCATTCACGTCGGCCCCTCCCAGCTCTAAGACAGAGAGATGATGCTTCTTCTTCCCGAGGAAATGTCTAGCTCCTGGGAGGGACCTCATACATGGTTCTTCTTAAAGACATCCAAGACAAACTGGGAGGCTGTGACCTGACCTACTTCCTCTGATGGATTTCGCCAAGTGATCCCCTTTGACCCTGAGCCTCTTGATGTGGATTTTGTTCCCTGAGCACCGAGGGAATCTGTGCCCCGTGTCGCCATGACTGCTGGGGTGGCGATTTCACAGCTGTCAGCAGAGGAGTTCAGGTTGTTGTTACACCTGACTTGGGCCGGCAGGAGCTCCCAGAGGTCTTCCTGGATCTGTCAGGCTCGACTGAGATGTGGGGGGATTCCTCCTGCCTGAGAAGCCCCAGGAGAGAAGGGGACAGCTGGCCGTCTTTGCACCTGAGGTAGGTTCTGCTGCTGGGGAATTTCGTTCTGGCTCAGTCTTTCAGGTCAAATGAGAACAGGAATGGGGAGGGGCAGAGAGGGGGCGGGAGAGCATGCATTTGGGGAGAATGAAGCCTTTGACTGCTCAGCAGCTTCGTCGCTCGCTCTCTTTCCGTGTGTTTCTGTCTCCATCTATATTACTCTCCTCTGTTTCTGCTTGCACACTGCTATCTCCCTTCACTCCCCCTTCTAAACCACCCCCCTTTTTCCTCTGCATTGCCTCCTTCTTTCTTCCCTGCAGTCTCACTTGCTCTGCCTTTCTTTCTTCTCACCTTCCTGGTTTTCCCTCATCTGCCATTTGAACCTCTTCTTCCTTCTTTGTGCATCTTTCTCTCTCTTTCTTGGGGGCTGGGAGCACCTTGGGGCATTTCAGTTGGGCTCACTCTTTGGATTCGAGGATGGCTGTGACCTAGGGTGTTTGCTCAGAAGATTGTTCTCCAGCTGGAGGACTCTCCTTTTTCCTGCCAGTACAGCATCCTGTTCTAGCGTGCTCACCTTTGGGGGTGGAGTCCTGAGTTTCTGGAGCAAGATGAGGTTGCTGTGGGTTTAGAAAACATCTCTGATGATACTTCCTGAATCTGCAAGGAGAAAATAGAGAAGGAGGGTTGGAGAGAAGAAAGAGAACCTCATATATTTCAGATAAATATTTTGCTTGTGTAGCACTAGACTCTGCTCACTCCGGGTCTCCAACCTTGAGAAGCTTGCAGAAGAGTTCCAGACAATGCACTATAGATAGAGTGAAATAAACACAGAAAAGAGGATGTAGAAGGAAGCCATAGAGTGGAATTAACCTAGAAAAAGCCTTAATTCAAGAGGCTGGCTTTCTGAATGCCCTGAATTCACTTGAAGGTTCCCAGAGCTGTCTCTCTCATATCCTGAAAGCAGAACAAAAGCAGAGTTCATAAATCCCAGTGGTGTGAAGTGCAGGGGATGACTCTCTTTAGAAAGATGGCTTAAGATTCACCAACCGGTCTATAGGGAGGCTTTTTCTTTGTGCATCTCTTTGCTGGAGGTCATGTAGACTGAGTCCCACATGTATCAGGATATTAGGTTTTTGGAGGTTTGTTGTTCAGTTGCTCAGTTGTGTCTGACCCTTTGCAACCCCATGAACTGCAGCACGCCAGGCCTCCCTGTCCTTCACTGTCTCCTGGAATTTGCTCAGACTCATGCCCGTGGAGTCGGTGATGCCATCCAACCATCTCATTCTCTGCTGCCCCCTTCTCCTTCTGCCTTCAGTCTTTCCCAGCATCAGGGTCTTTTCCAATGAGGGTAGTGGACATTTTCTAAAAGAGGATTGCAGTGACAGTTGTCCTTGATAAGTTAACTCACAAAAGTCACTGAATTTTTTTTTTTTTTAAGTGACATGAGGCTAATAACCTCAGAGTTTCATGTCTTGTCTGGGAGATGGTTTGGTTTTATAAATCTAGAAGTTAAGCCTCTCTAAAGATGTACCGGATTGCATATTCAAGAAGGAATGACAGTTTTTTTCTCTGCCACATGGGGACACTTTAGAGCTTTCGTGCTGCTCCCGTCCAGTGCTAGGAACCGTTTGTTTTGTTTTGAATTTTGACAATGAGACCATTGTGGGATTGACATGCCCCTTTCTTTTGGCTCTGAAGACAGGCGAGGCCATTTCTGGTCCAGGCGGAGCCTGGTCAGCTTGTCT